TATTTCCTGAAAAGACCCAAAAAACTAAAAAAGGAAAAAATAGAGTTCAGGATACATTACACGAGGAAAGTGAATGAATAAAGGTTAAATACAACAGGGCAAAACAGATGTCACTAATTCTTTCTCTATTCTCCCTTTCTATTTCCAACATGCTTTCTGGTTCCATGTGTCCCAAATTACAGGTGAGCGCCATTTCAATACACCACAGTCACCACCATCACCACAACCAACAAAAACTACCAAGGATGGCCAAAAAGAAATTTAATCTATTAAATGAAAGAAAAACAATGTAAGAGAAAGCTCCACAAAGTAATAATCTATCATGGGCATATACTTTCTGTATTGTTCAGTTAAAATATAGTAAATTAATTATACAGATGCTCACCAAAAAGAACCTGGCGAGAGTTTATCATTGTTATCTAGTAGAGAAATCGCCTGACCTCTTCGAGCTGCCATTACCCGAAGTCTCCTTGGACTATTTTAATCGCCTCTACCTATCTTGTTTTCTTGCTTCCTGCCTTACCTTCAATAGCCTTTGCTCCACACAGAAGTCAAAGTCATCCCTTTGAAACATAAATCACCTATCACACCACCACACAAAATCCTTAAAGAGCTTTCCATGCTACTCAGAGTAAAAGCCAAGCCCTCAGTATGGCCCACACTTCCTACATGAAGTTGCCCCAGCTCACCTCTCAAACCTCATCTCTTACCAGTCTAACCTGACAGCTCTGCTGTGTTTCCAGCATACCCAGCATGCCCCAGCTTGGGCACCTGCTCTTCACTAGGGCCAAAACTCTTCCTTCAGACAACTGCATGACTGTCTCTCTCACTTTCTTCAAGTCTCTGTTCAAATTTTGTCTTGATAGATTAGACTTCCTGATCATGATCACTGTACCTAAAGTAGCATTTCTCTCCACCTCACCATCTTCTTTCACTTCCCCATGCCTGTCGTGCCTTTCTTCACTATATTTACTGCTACCTGATATTACGTACAGAGTTTACTACGTATCTACCCTCACTAAACATCAGCTTCAAGTGGACAGGGACTTTGTTGTGTTCAACACCATAATTGTAGGGCCTAGAACGGGACCTGGCAGGTAGATGGTGCTCATTAAACATTAGTCAAATACATGAATGGATTAAGTGCTGCTATCTGTTAGGCATATTCTCAACCCTTTCTATGTATTAACTCATTTAACTTTCACAGTACTCCATCAAGTACCTATTATCCCCATTTCACAGATGAGGAACTGAGGCACAGAGAATTAAAGCCCAAGTTAACAAAGCTAATAAGTTTGGGATCCAGGACATGAATCCAGGTAGTGTCTGCAAAGCCTATTGAACTGTTGCTCAGGCTGTCACAGACTAGGTGGCTTAAACAACCAATATATTTTCTTCCTCACAGTTCTGGAACCTGAAAGTCCAAGATCAAAACGCTGCCAGAGTAGATTTCTGGTGAAGCCTCTCTTCTTGGCTTTTAGATGGCTGCCTTCTCCCTATATCCTCACATAGTTTTTGCCAGTGTATGTCCTCCTGGTGTCTCGTCCTCTTCCTACTGGATTCACCCACATGACCTCATTAAACATTAATTACCTCCTTAAGGGCCCATCTCCAAGTACAGTCACACTGGAGATTAGAGCTTCAATATACAACTTTTGAAAGGACACAATTCAATCTATAACACCCATAATTTATGTCTTTGAAATATAGCTATTTTAAACATCTTCCTTTTTTATTTTGAAGAATCAAGTTGGGTTTTTTTTTTTGCTAGGTCTTCTTGGTTGAACAGAGGAGAAGAAACTTTCAGGACTCTGCCTGGGCCCAAAGATCACCTGGCAAGATCTACTGAAATGGCTACACTAAGGATTTTCAGAAACAACTTGTTCTCATAAAACACCAAATGATTGTGCCAAACATCTGTTAGTGCACTTCCATACACCGCGCATTAACGCGTTGCAGCTCCGGGAATTGTGTTTATTTGTAACTCCTCATACAAAACCAGCAGAAAACCATACTTCTTGTGAGTCCCTGATGGAAATCTGTTCCAGCCTCCTTGCTGCTCCTCAAACAACCACTCAGGCTCCCACCCCAGGGCCTTTGTGCTCCCTGCTCTCATTATCTGGAGTGCTTTCCCTCCAGGTAGCTTCATGACTCATTGTTTCCCTTATTTAGATTTTTTCCCAGTGTCATCTCCATGAGGTCTTGCTGAAACAATCTATTTAAAATTGCAAACATACTTTCCTCCTGCACTTACCCTTACCTACTCTCTCTACTTAATTTTTCTCTGTGGCACTTTTTTTGAGGATTCCGGGGAGGGGTCTAACTCTTCCCTCTAGAATGCAGGCAAGATGGAAGGTGAGGATTTTTGTTTGTTTTCTTTACTGCTATTTCCCTAGCTCCCAGATAGTGCTGGCCCACAGTAGACACTCATTGCTGAAAGAATGAACTTCTCCAAGGTCACACAGCTGGTAAGAGGTAGAACTGGAGTTTGAACCCTATCAGACACAAAAGTCTAAAATTTTAACTGTTAAGTTACACTGTCCATAGGAGCTAACAATTCTTAAGTACAAATCTGGTCAAAGGATTCCACTGCTCTTCTCTGACACAAACAAACAACAGACTGCAAATAGGAATGGAGAAAATGCCCATCTTCAAACAATCTCCACAGAAACAGAAATTAATATTCTTTGCAAGCATAAACTGTAAAAATTCATTCTTTTTAACACTATAGGCAACTGACCATCTGTAAAAATTAAATATTTTGTTTCCAGGGTCAAAGACGTTTCAAAGGAGAACAACTGAGTCCAAATTCCATTTTTTGTTGGATAGATACAAAATTGATTGTAAGGTTTTCCCAAAAGATGTTAGAATTTTATCCCTAGCCTAAATAAGTGGTGTCATTTATTCATTCATTTACTTACTTGCCAAATATTTACTAACCACCTAATCTGACCAGGCATTGTTCCAGGCAATAAGTATACAGCAGTGAACAAAATAATTCTTCCATCTTTGAAAGGGGAAACAATAAAAACATAGCTAAAATTAAGAAAAGTATTAATGTCACAAAAAGTATTAGTTTTAATAATAATGGCCTTTGGAATTCATCCCTAAATAATTCAGAGTATAATTTTATCATGGTGGCAAAGAGCTCAGACTCTGGAGTCAGAAGTTTGAACCCCATGAAGAGCTGTGCCCTTGACAAATTAACTCCTCAAGCCAAGCCTCAATTTCATAACTTGGGAGAAACAGAACCCATCCCACAAGGCTGACGTGACGATTAAAAGAGAAAACGTGCAAGAAAACACTTAGTAGACTGCAGACTAGATGATACATATTAATTGATCCTACTGTCATGATTGGAATATGTAAGATAACCTAATTCTTTCATCGCATGAAGACAAAGTTAAAGCCATAGGAAAGTCTTGGGCTTTACATTTAAAGGTAGTTTCTTTTCTCTTGGGGGGAAGCTAAGCTGCCATGAGTCATTCATTAATTCATTCACGCAACAAATATTCATTGAGCAATGCATGCCAGGTATTTGACTAGTTACTGGGAACACATGTTTATAGGGAAGACATGGTCTCTGCCCGTTTGAAGTGTAAGTTGCCACATTATCATAAGTAGTGGATATTAGGAGAGCAAACTGAGGCCATGCCTAACTTTCTCAACAATAACCTGTGACTGGAAAGAAACCAATGTTTACCACGTCCTATTATAGGAGGCTCCTCTAGCGGAGCTTTGCATTCAGAGGATGCCCAGCGCATAAGGTTCACTCGCAAGGGCAAGGCTGGGAACAGCTGGAAGCAAAGTAGGAGAGAACCCAGGAGCCTGTTCGGGTCCTCTGGTCATGCTACTTCCAAAATATACTAGCCTTGGTTGGATCTAAGTTTCTTGAGGGTAAAAAAAAAAAAAAAAAACAACCCCACAGCCTACCAAAGTTCATGGCACGTCCTAGCTACTTTATAAACAATTTTCAAATGAACTAGTAAATATTTCAAATCTTCGCTGCTACCACCCTAGGCCCCGACATAATCATCTCTTTCTTGTACTAACGGGCCTCTCGGCTTCTGCCCCTCTAGTCTGTTCTGCAAATAACCATCAGAGTTATCTTTTCAAAGGGAAGTCAGGCCACTATATTGACTAAACGGCTCCAACGTTTCCCATCAGCTTCAGACCCAATATGCTCCCCCGGCAGTCCGGCTCCTGCCTGCCTCCCACACCGGCGCCGCTGGGCACCGGGGTCCAGCCTCCGCCCGACCCTGGGAACCCCTCCCCGGCTCCCCGCGCGCCGGCGCCCCCTGCCGCTCCCGGCCACCTAGAGCAGCCTCATCCACCACTGCTGCCAAGGTGCCTGTTTCCATTTTCTTTTTTTTTTCCTTTTTATTTTATTTTCTTGTTTAAAGTATTACAAATAGTAGTGCATATGTCTCCTTTTTTCCCCATTGACCTCCCCCCGGCCTCCCCTACCCCCCGGCACATGCCCTCACCCCACCCCCCAGTGTCTGTGTCCATTGGTTATGCTTACATGCATGCATACAAGTCCTTGGGTTGATCGCTTACCCCCCCTCCCCCAACTGTTTTCATTGTCTTCTCGCCCGTCATCACCACGTGAACTTATCTTGATGTATTACTACTAAGTGTTGCTGTCCTGCTGCCGCGTTTCCACAAGGAACCGACAGGCACGGTGAGCACCCCGTTCCCCGTAGCTCCCGCCCAGCAGCGCTTGCTGAGTGACTGAATGAATGGACCGCTGCCGGGCTCTAGTCCCTTTAAGTGGTGGAACTACACAGGCACCCCGGGACGAAAGTGAGACCCCGGGACCGCGTCCCCGCCCCACCCCTGCGCTAACCGGACCCCCACCCACCTCGGCGGGCCCCGCCCCGGCCCGCCCCGGCCCGCCCCCGGTCCTCGCGATTCCGCCCGGCTGCCGCCGGAGGGCACGCTTCGCGGGGCGGAGCCTCCTCTCTGCCTCCCAGCCCGCCCCTCCCGCCGCCGTTCACCTGCTCCTCCCTCGGCCTCCGCCGGGGGGCGCGCCTCCGAGGTCCGGTCCCCCGCCGTCGCCGTGGCCCTCAGCACCTCCAGCACAGTCTCCGGAGGCAAGTCGACCAGTTGCGCCCACACGGACTCTGTGTAGAAGTCCACTGTGTGTGCGTTGGCAATGGACAGGGCTTGCCTCAGGAACCGCAGCAGCCCCTGCAACTTGGCACGCAACGTGGGCAAGTCCTGGGCCGCCGGGAGCGGGCTGGAAGCCGCCATGGCGCTCCCCCGCCCGGGCTGTAGGTGGCGCCCACCGGGTCGCGAGGCGGGGGCTCCGCGGAGAGCCGCCCAGGCCGGATCAGTAGAGCTCCGATCGACACTGCAGGTGGGCGATGGATTGCTTCCGCCTGGTGACGTACTTTGACTGCGTCCGGTGTGAGTTTCCCGGCGACGCGCTGGGTATGCTATGGCGCCCTCAAGGCAGGCACCCGGGCGGCGGACGCGGGGTTTGGGGGCGCCTGGCGAAGGGTTTTCTCCGGTCGGATTCAAAAATAAGAATGTGAAACAGAGGACGTGGCGACCTAACCACCTGCAGGCCTTCGTGGGGAGCGTTCGCGAGGGTAAGAAGGCAGCCTTCCTGATCCCCGGGCCTTTGAACTCCTAGAGTGCGCGACCCGCCGATGCGGGGAGCAGGGTAGGCGCTGGGTCGGGCCCTCCCGGGGCGGAGGGAGTCATTCCGGAGCCGGCCGAGGCCGTGGGCGTCTCAGCTTCGGGTGGGAAGACGGGGCGGTGTTGGTGACCGTCTGTAATGATCTTCCCCCACTTGTTTCCATTCTTGTCCCGAACTCTCCCTCTATTTACCCACGAAAGCGTAAGCAGAGAGCATCTACGGTTCCATTTGTGGATGTATTATGTGTACACCTTGGTGCATGTATTACGGGGAAGGACAGACAGAAGGATAGGGCCAGAAATCTGCCCCACGCCCTTGCTGATTGCAAGTAACCCAGAGCCCTCCAGTCGTCTTTTACTGATCTTCCTTTGCTTTGCTTTGGTTTGCGTTTGTCATTGTGTCTTGTCTGTAAGTTCCCGCAGATCTCGTTTGGAATGCATACATCTTAAGTTCGGGTAGCTGTTCAGAAAGTCATGCACCATCTTCTCTCTCTTGTGTTGAGTTACTTTTAAAAGTAAGTCGTACAGCTCTAATCGCCTTGGCTCAGTGGATAGAGCATCGGCCTGCGGACTGGTCCCGGGTTCGATTCCGGTCAAGGGCATGTACTTTGGTTGTGGCCACATCCCCAGTGGGGGGTGTGCAGGAGGCAGCTGATCGGTGTTTCTCTCTCATTGATGTTTCTACCTCTCTATCCCTCTCCCTTCCTCTCTGTAAAAAAAAAAATCAATAAAATATATATATATTTTTAAAAAAGTAAGTCGTACAGTAGTTTCTCTAAGGTAAAATAATAGCTGTGAGCTGTATGTTTTAAGTATCTATTAAAGACCGAGATGAAGTCTTTTAGATGGATTAAGGACTTTGTTTTGATTTGTGAGCGCAATAAACTGGAGTCGTGCAACGCTCTAGCCATTTTACCATATTTGAGAGTCTTACTTGAAGTGTCTGCATGACTAAGTTTGCCTGGTCTTTTGCAGAGAATCAACATGCTGTTCACGCCAATGGTTTAAAACTTGTTTTCTTGAAATGACCTTTCAAAGCAAAACAAAGTAATTCTAGCATCTGAATGTCACAGCTACATTTTTTCATGCCACTTATTTTCTGAGGAAGTAATTAACGATTGATGTTCTTCAATGTAGGACAAGGCTTTGCATTTCGAAGAAAATTGAAGATTCAGCAAAATTACAAGAAATTGCTATGGCGGAAAAACAAGGCTCAAACCTCACAGGAATCCCAGTTCAGAGATCGATATCCCGATCATCTGAAACATCTTTACTTAGCTGAAGAGGAAAGACTCAGGAAGCAGACTAGAAAAGTTGAGAAGAACAAGTCAGAAGAACAAGTTAATGAGGCTTTGCCAACAGAACAATGTAACACTGACCAGGCTTTGTCTGAAGAACATTGTAGCATTGACCAGCCTCAGCCAGAAGAGCCATGTAAAGAAGAAAGGGTAAAGTATGTATTTTCTTATTTTGAAATCCTATGTTTTAAGTTTAAGTAGTGTTTTATGAAATTAGACAATTTATATAGAAATTGGAATTGTTATTTGAGGCATTTTAGAAGTCACAGTGTAATTAGGCGATAATTTTTCATGGAGGCTTTTTTTTTTTAATCTTAAATGACTGAATTAGGTTAGGTTAGCTTAATTGGAGAAGTAATGGAATGGGTATTAAAATATCTGGGTTTTGGATTTCAGCCTTTCAAGTACATTTAACTTACTTGGACTGTGGTTAATTCCTGTTATTAATATACTAGAGGACCGGTGCACAAAAATTTGTGCACTGCAGGGGGGGGGGGTGTGGTCCCTCAGCCCGGCCTTTGCCCTCTCACAGTCTGGGACCCCTCGGGGGATGACCACCTGCTGGCTTAGGCCTGCTCCCCGGGGGATTGGGCCTAAGCTGATAATCAGACATCCCTCTGGCAGCCCGGCAGCCCTTGGGGGGATGTCCACTTGCCAGCGGGGAGCAGGCCTAAGCTGCAGTCGGACATCCTTAGCGCTGCTGAGGAGGCAGGAGAGGCTCCCACCACCACCACTGTACTGGCAGCCATCAGCCTGGCTTGTGGCTGAGCAGAGCTCCCCCATGTGGGAGCACACTGACCACCAGAGGGCAGCTCCTGCATTGAGCATCTGCCCCCTGGTGGTCAGTGTGTGTCATACTGACCAGTCATTCCCAGTCTTTCTGCTGTTAGGGTCAGTTTGCATATTACCCTTTTACTATATAGGATAGAGGCCTGGTGCACGGGTAGGGGCCGCCTGGTTTGCCCTAAAGGGTGTCCCAGATCAGGGTAGGGGTCCCACTTGGGTGCCTGGCCAGCCTGGGTGAGGGGCTGATGGCTGTTTGCAGCTGGTCACACACCCTTCAGGGTGGGGGGTCCCCACTAGGGGTGGTCTGGCCAGCCTGGATGAGGGGCTAATGGCTGTTTTCAGGCTGGCCACACCCCCTTTAGGGTGGCAGTCCCCACTGGGGTGCCTGGCCAGCCTGGGTGAGGGACTGAGGGCTGTTTTCAGGCTGGTCGGCGACTGAAGCTCCCAGCCTCTCCTTTCTTTTTTTTTTTTTTATTCTTGGATTTATTTACCTTCTATAATTGAAACTTTGTTGCTGTCACTGGAGCTGAGAGCCGGCTCCAGCTCCATGGCCACCGCCGGCTGAAAGCAGGTATCTGGGGTTTGTTTAGCTTCTATAATTGAAACTTTGTTGCTTCCGGAGCTCAGAGCCGCCGCGGCAGGCGGGGAACCTTGGCTTCCTCCATCACTGGAGAAGGCAAGCCTCCTGCTCACTTCAGCTGCGTGGTTGCTGGCCACCATCTTGGTTGGGTTAATTTGCATATCTCGCTGATTAGCCAGTGGGAGGTCTAGCAAAGGAATGGTCAATTACCAAGTTTGTCTATTATTAGATAGGATGTGTGTTTTTTTTAAACTAATTTTTTGAGAGGTATAGCTCGGTGGTTAACAGCATGAATGGACTTGAGCTGGACTTCTCTAAAATGGAAATTATGATGATAAGTATTTAATTCAGAGTTGCCATGTTGTACCTCTCCAGAATGAATTATTCTCAGACTCTGTGGTCTCCCTGACCTATCGTGACATTATAAATACTAAATGAGTTCATTTGTTATAAAGTACTTTAAATAGTGTATGATACATGAGAAGTACCACCTAAGAGTGTTAGCTACTACTGCTGCTACTACTATTAATCCAGATTCTTCCCCCCAGAGGATGTGGATTTAGAATCAATTAAAAAAGAAACAGAGAGCAAGAATAGATCCAGAGACAAGTGGGGGGTTAGAGAGCAACCAAAGGACTTGTATGTATGCATATTAGCATAACCAATGGACACAGACACTGGGGAGGTGGGGGCTTGCCTGGGGTGGAAATGGCTGGGAGGGGGGGCGGTGTCAGGGAAAAAGGAGACATGTAAAACTTCAGACAATAAAAAAAAATAAAATAGAATAAAAAAGAAAAGAAACAGCATAGCACCATACACTTTGGTTTTATAAATGCTAACTTATAAAGCTTTCTCTGCACATATCTCAAGTTAAAAAAACATGCCAAAATCTAAACTCGCAGTGAAGGTAGGTATTACTTGGGGACCATAACCTTTAACTTCACTAAAATTCTGTCCTTTAAAATTGGAGCTATTTGTGCTAAACATAATAGGAACTTGGACCCCAGGAAAGAGTGTAGTTGGGGATGAAGACAGAGACACTAAAAATTCAGATTTTTAGTATGTTTATCTATGGGTGTAAAGCTTGGCAAAAAATAGCTCTGGAAATGGAGGAATGAATCATTTCCAGTGATAATTGAAGTGAGGAGGGTTTAATCATGACACAAAATTCCTTGGCTAAAATAATATTTTTAGAGGTTTCTTATTTTGAAGTGGAAACAGGGAAAAGTTGTCACTGAAGAAGTTCAATAGAACTGCCTTAATTGGAGAAAGAGGGGAATACAGTGACAGCTATGTCAATACAGGAAATTTGTGCAGAGTAGGGATTGATCAACTCAAATACTGTAACATCCAAGAAAACAAGACTGAGAGCAGGTCTTTTGAGTTTGTGCTCTAGGCAATTATTAGTGACCTTGTAAAGAAGATTTTCAATAGATAACCCTGGTGAAATTTTTACCCTTGCATGTAGCATCCAAAGCCATGGTCATGGATACGACTATCAAAGAAGAACATGGAGACCAAAGAGAGAAACACTTGGCGGGAAACCTGGGATTAGAAAGAGAGAGAGGCTCTAGCACAGCACAGTGAGAAGGAGCAGTTAGAAAGGGTCCGGGCGAAAGAATGTCACCAAAACTGACGGAATGGAATTTTCAACAGTAGTGAATGGTCAGTTAAATGAAACTGAAAAGTGCCCATTGACTTGATCATCATATTTGGCTAGAAGGTCGTGACTGTTTTGGCATGGGTAGTTTGATTACAGTGTGAGAGCAGAAATCAGATTACAGAGTTAAGTGAATATGAAGTGCCTATCTTAGTCTATTCACTATTCTTTCTAGATACTTGACCATGAAAGGATGAGGAATAAGAGATTGGTAGTTAGAAGAGGATCTAGAGTTTGGTGATGGATAATTAGTGCATTTGTTTACTTTAAGAAGGTAGCTACTGAAATTTTTTTTTTTTAAATATATTTTATTGATTTTTCACAGAGAGGAAGGGAGATGGATAGAGAGCCAGATACATGGATGAGAGAGAAACATCGATCAGCTGCCTCCTGCACACCTCCTACTGGGGATGTGCCCGCAACCAAGATACATGCCCTTGGCCGGAATCGAAACTGGGACCTTTCAGTCCGCAGGCCGACGTTCTATCCACTGAGCCATCGGCCAGGGCTGAAATTTTTATACTGTGTTTATGAAGTTGGTATAGTGAAAAGTTGAGAAACAGGAAAAAGGAAGATTATTAATTAATCGGATAGCCTGAGGAAATGGATGGAGTCTGGATCTAAGTGGTTGAATTATCTGTGACAGTGTGGGACACCTTCAGAGACATGAGAAGTACTTCAAGATAGAATAGTTCACCCTGGCCGGTGTGGTCCAGTGGTTGGAGTGTCGGCCCACACATAAGGGTCATAAGTTCCATTCCCAGTCAAGGGTACTTTTTGGTTCACTGCCTGACCCAGGGGTGCCTATGGGAGATAGTTGATCTCTCTCTCACATTGATCTCTCACATTGATATCTCTCTCTCTCTCTCTCTCTCTCTCTCTCTCTCTCTTTCTCTTTCTCTTTCTCTTTCTCTCCCCCCCTCCTTCCCTCCCTCCCCACCCTTTCCCTGCCTCCCGCCTCCCTCTCTCTTCCCTCCCTCTCTCCCTTCTTCCTCCCCTCCTTCCCTCCCTCTGTCTCTGAAAAACAGTGGAAAAAATATCCTCAAGTGAGGAAAAAAACAAAAGATAGAATAGTTCTAAGTGGAGTTGGGGTCATTTATGAACAAGTAGGTGAAGTGGAATGGAGATGAAGTGGTCAAAGAACTCTGGGATTCAAGTTCATATCCACCTACAACTTCCATTATGTCCTTCAGTTTAATGCCTTCTTCAGTCTGTCATTCCTACCATTCATATGTTGGTTTCCTGTTTTGGTTTTGGTTTTGTTTTTTAATGTGTGTGGGGGATTTTTTTTTTTGTTTGTTTACATTCTAGGATCTTTCAAATCTTTCTGTATTTTCCCTGGTTGAAATATTTCTCCAAGATTCTCCAGTTACCCCTTGTAATCTATCTTGAAAGTTATAACTATATTTTTAATAATGTTATTTGTATATTTTATTAATAAGATTAATGTCCTCTTTCTTTCCTCTTATCTCTTCCCCTTCTATTAATTTACATTAGTGAGATTTTAATATACAAGTACTGTATTAGACATACTTGTCATAATTTCAGTTATATTGTTTTTAATCTTTACAACTTATTTTTCTTTACCTTATAAAGCTTCATTACTATTCCAAAGAAAAATAAAAAGAAAACATCAAATCAAAAAGCACAAGAAGAATATGAACGGGTACAAGCTAAGCGTGCTGCTAAGAAACAAGTAAGATCTTTAAAAATATTCAGATTCCTATTTATGCTAAATGTATATATAATCTGTGTTTCTTAGTGTGGGGTACATAGTATGCCCTCTGTAAACATTTGTTGAATAAATGAATGGTATGATCAGAGTTAGAGAATTTTAACATATTCAGATTCCTTGATTATATTATCCTTGAGAGGTGGTCAGAAATAGAATTTTAAAGATATTGCTTACAGGTTAATGATATGAACTTCTGGGATAATGTTTACTAAGAGTTTGGTTTAGGAACTGGCACTTTTAACAAGTACTTCAAGAGATTCTTATGAATAATAAAATTTGAGAACTACTGACCTAAGGAAAATATAGATTACTTGCATAATTTTACATTGAAGCAAGTAAAAGCCAGAGGGGAGGTGACTACAATATTTCTTTACTATAAAGAGTTAGTCTTGCTAATTAAAAAGCCTCTAGAGCCCTGGCCAGGTAGTTCAGTTGGTTGGAGCGTCTTCCCGAGACACTAAGGTTGCAGGTTCGATCCCCAGTCAGCACATACAACAAACAACCACTGAATGCATGAATAAGTGGAACAACATATCAATGTCCTTCCCTCCCACCCTCTCTCAAAAATAAAATAAAAAGTCTATTACATTAACTTAGCAAAATGGTACCACTCTCTGTAATCATTCAGAAACCCAAAATTAGAATAGACTTTTTCTAATGAGGAAAACAAAGTTATCTACAACTTTAACAAAATCGTTATTTTGTTTAATCTGTAATTAACTCGGAGTTTTTGTGTTGAAGCTTTATTTTTAGCACTTTAAAAAGGATAGCATATCAGTGATTGCACTGATTTAGAATTTTTTGTGTGTTTTAGCTTTAGAATTTGGGATTTTCTGGAAGTTTCACATCTAAAATTGTATGATTATTCGTAAACTGGCAGCAGACTAGGATGAAGCAGAAATATTTCACCATGGAAATAGTGGACCTTTGTTTCATAGCTTGTTACTTTCTGCTTCTTCCTAAACAAGCATCTGATATCTGCCACCTTTGGAAATAGTATACCAATAAGGACCATTGTACTGTAAAACATGTAATGTCCTAAAATTTTCTTTACATAGATAAATGCTAGGACTTTATATTTATGAAAATTGACAGTCTCTTAGATTTCTAATGTTAATACCCAGCATCATTACTTAGGAGAAATCAAAATTAAGAACATTAATTAAGTAAGAACCTATAATTGATAGTAAGACTACTTTCTTTTTACTTTGTTTAGTGAAACTCCACATACCTAAATTCCCACAAATACGTTCCAGATCTTTATGTGCTTTTTAAAATAAATGAGGTACCATACCATATAAGAACAAGTTTAAGTGACAATGGCGTAGCATAATGGAGAATTGCTCAGACTTTGAATTCACAAGATCTGGATATGAGACTTGGCTGTATCAGTTATTTGGGATTTGGGGCAAATCACTTTCCATATCACTGAGCATCAGCTCCTTGTCTGTAAGATGAAGATAAAAAGCCTAGATAACACTTTTAAAGAATGAAGTGTACTATGATGTATGTGAAAGTACTTGGTTAAATATAAGTGACCATACAAATATAAGGCTGTGTCATTTGGGAGCTATATGTGTTACAGGGGAAATTGAAAAACAATCCATATATTGCAGTGATGGCGAACCTTTTGAGCTCGGCGTGTCAGCGTTTTGAAAAACCCTAACTTAACTCTGGTGCCATGTCACATATAGAAATTTTTTTGATATTTGCAACCAAAGTAAAACAAAGACTTATATTTTTGATATTTATTTTATATATTTAAATGCCATTTAACAAAGAAAAATCAACCAAAAAATTAATTTGCGTGTCACCTCTTACATGCGTGTCATAGGTTCGCCATCACTGATATGTTGCATTATTGAAGAACTTTAAAGTTTTATATTTGCTTTAGTAAATGTTATAGTGCATTTCAAGTAGTGCTTTTGGATCTATACAATATATAACGGAATTATTTTCCTTAGACTCAAATGAACTTGAGTCTTTCTCTTAGCAGATGAAATGAGCATGATCATTCTTAAATGGTTAGATATCATAATGCCTAGCACAGTGTTTTACACATATATGGTATGTAGCCAAACATTCTCCTGGAATTAAATCTGTCAGGTGCAAATTAAAAAGAATATGAGATATTCTGGAAATGAAGGTTTTAGTGTTACATGACTAGATAAAGTCACTTTTAATTCTTCATTGGGTCTAGTTAAATGATGAAATCATTTCATAAATATGCCTTCTGTGCTCCGACTTTATTTGCATACAGATAATTAAAATTGTTTAATAACTTTTTGTAATAGCATGTGTTATAGTGCATACTCTTTGCCTTAACATTTAACATTTGAAAATAAAAGAGACACTTAATATTTTGAAAATAAAAGAGACAGACCTAAAGTTTTAGCAAGGTGATACCTGTTTCAACACAACTTCGGAACTGTATTTACTGTTTTTTACTAATGAAAATTACATATGTTAATTTCAGGAATTTGAGAGGAGAAAGCAAGAGAGAGAAGAAGCTCAAAGACTCTACAAAAAGAAGAAAATGGAAATGTTTAAAATATTGAGCAAAAAGACTAAAAAGGGCCAACCAAACTTAAATTTACAGATGGAGTATCTTCTAAAAAAAATACAAGAAAACAATTAAATCAGACACTTTATATTAAATTAAGGCTTAAAATATCTGCTGCCTCTTGAGTTCTTTTGTATATGTAGTGCACCTCCTAACAATTCACTAGGTTTGTCAATATAAACTGGATTGCTAAGCGATATAAAATGTCCAAAAATTTTTGTTCATTTATATAAAGGAAAATTTTCTACATATACTCTGCATAATATCATTTGCTTCCTATTTATTTGCCCCTGAAGAAAGGGTGCCTTGAATGACTGAAAGAATCTGCTATTTGGGTGACAGTACTTTTGTACCACATAAATTCAGATGAAATAAAAATGTTTTTAAAATGGAGCAGAGCTTTCAATGGAGCATTTCAATGAAAATTTTCAATTTAGTAAACAACTGTTATGGTTTTAAAATTCATTTTAATAATGGAGGCAGTGATTCTCCTTGGACGTTTTTATTTATTTATTTTTAAACTAAGCACATGTTATAGGGGAGTGGGTTTTCTAGAAACCTGAGAGCACGCTGCACAATATCTTCTGTCCCCACCATTCAACTATGGGGTCTTCATAAAGCAGAGTTTGGTGTAAAAATGCAGAAAGCCTGATATTTATAAACATTCCCAAAGTGGGAGTACATAGCTTATTAGTGTAAGATCTTGGGAACTCGGCAGTGTCACACCAGTAATTAAGCTTTCCAGATCATGTTATTGTGTAAGACATTGTCACTGGAACATGACTGTGTTATCTCTGTGTATACTTGTGAACCGAGACACAGTGCCGAAATACTGCCCCGCCTACCGCCTTGCAATCTCTGCAAAATGAGAAAGCCTTCACTGTCATCATTGTAAATGATATTTGTAAAACATTGCATAATAAAGCCTATAAAATAATAAGAGAGACAGCCTGAAATTGCAATAAGGTTTGAGGAGTCCTTGCATTCTACTGATCACTGCATTTAAAAGTGTAATAGATGCTGAGGAAGCAACTTACTAAAGAAAGACAATCTTTATTGCAGTGAGAAACAATGCTTAGAAATTTTCAGTGCATAATATTGCATTTAAAATAACTCAGAAAACCTACATTTGGCTACATTGGTGAAGACAGTATATTGTGAAGCAGAGTAAAATATTTTAATTCCTTTATAATGATTTGCTTGTGTTTTACTTCTAGACACTTTATCAGGGTAGGACAAAACGAGATCTAGTCCTTTTGAGAGTAAAAATTAAGTTCATTTTAACAATTTTGTTGTTGAGCAGTTGTTATATATGCAAGGTCCAGGTTAAGGAGTTACTCTTTAAAAAAAAAAAGATTCCTTCCTCCATGGATCTGCAGTGGTTCTCAACCTTCCTAATGCCACCACCCTTTAATACAGTTCCTCATGTAGTGGTGACCCCCAACCATAAAATAATTTTCGTTGTTACTTCATAACTGTAATTTTGCTACTGTTGTGAATTGTAATGTAAATATCTGATATGCAGGATGTATTTAGGCAACCCCTGTGAAAGGGTCATTCGACCCCCAAAAGGGTCGCGATCCACAGGTTGAGAACCGCTGTATAGAGCAAATGCCAAGTAAGGTTATAGGACAAAAATCAGAAATGATCAGGTGCAAAACGAAGACGCAGACTTGAATGCACCAGAGAATCACCTAGAGAGCTCACAGTGCACATTCGAGGGCCCTACCCCAAGATTCGGATAGCACTGATGCGCTCAGTAATGCGTGTTTTAACAGTTACTAACACATTCTGTTGTGGTTGGTCTTTAGACCATAACTTTGCAAAGCATTGGACCCAGGCCTCAGAAGAGAGGTTTCATCTCATTGAAGACATCAGGGAAAGTTTCATGGATGAGATGGCATGTGAGAAAAGCCTTCCAGAATGAGAAGAGAATTAGAGGTGACAGCATGAAGGGAACAAAACTTTCAGTGAATTTAAAAGTCTAAAGAGTAGTTAGGTTACATGTATATTATTACTGATTGGGGAACCACACTCAACTTCCCATTTCTGTTTCCTTTCATATGGTGGGGCACCCTCAGCCTAACATGGTGTCTACTCTCCTTACTTTGTGCCCAGGGAGGTAGTGACGAGTTTGGGAGGAGGACCTGGCCTGTGTACAGTGCATGTACTCTTGATTACTATTTTTCTACAGAAAATTGTAAAGAACAGGCTGTATTGATGGGTAGGAGGGTATGGAGATGGAGGCAGAGCAGGGCAGAGACCGTGTTTTGTAGAAGGAAACATCTAAACCTCCCAATTGGTGCTGTATACTCGAGTCCAGCGAGAAGTAAAGCAGGAATGACATTTGAGGGAACACAATATACAAGTGGAGAAACATTGGGTGGCCAAGAGCTTG